TGGGTCTACAAGGAACTAAAACGTGCTGAAAAAAAAAAAAAACAACCCCATTATAAAATGGGCCAAAGAAATGAACAGACACTTCACAAAAGAGGACATCCGAGCAGCCAACAAACACATGAAGAAATGTTCAACCTCACTAATCATCAGGGAGATGCAAATCAAAACCATACTGAGATACCACGTAACTCCAGTCAGAATGGCAATTATCAACAACTCAAAAAATAACAGCTGCTGGAGAGGGTGTGGCATAAAGGGAACACTTCTACACTGTTGGTGGGAGTGTAAACTAGTGCAACCTCTGTGGAAAGCAGTGTGGTGATTCCTAAAAGCTCTAAATATCAACCTCCCATATGACCCTGTAATCCCCCTATTGGGAATATATCCTGAAGAACTCAAATCACTCCATCAAAAAGATACCTGCACATGTATGTTTATCGCAGCGTTGTTTACAATAGCAAGAACCTGAAGCCAACCATGCTGTCCATCAAAAAAGGACTGGATTTTAAAAATGTGGTACAGATACATGATGGAATACTACACAGCCATAAAAAAGAACAAAATCATGAATTTCGCAGCAACCTGGATGGAACTAGAGTCTATAATACTGAGTGACTCTCACAGAAACAAAGATCTGAGTATCACATGTTCTCACTCGTATAGTGGACCTTGATCATCCAACGTATTACCATAAGAAAATGACTGACAATTGTGGGAAACTATGGGGGTGGGGGGATGGAGATGGGATTAATGGTAGTAAACATCTGTCTGGGGATGGGGAGACACCTCTTATAAACAAGGGTATCTGAACGAAACATATTTGTATACCTAACTCTTAACTGTACCCCACAATATCATAATAAAAAATATTGATTATAAAAAAAAGAAGTATGACAGTACAAAACTCCAAAACAGACAACTTGATTTCCATTAGATATAAGCTCCCAGAAGGCAAAGATGACATCTTCTTGTACTTTGTATCCCCAGGATCCAGAAGAGAATTCTCAAATTCTAAATTAGTTGTGTGTGACTTCATGAAGTTTTTTTATTTGAGAAGAGATATGAAATTCCTTTCATTGAAGGGTACATGGGAACAGTTTTCTGACTGTACCACTGCTTGGAATAAGGGGATTTAAAAATATATTTGGCATTGAAAAATCCATACATAAAAATAATATAAAGAGAAACAACACAGGAGGCTTTGGACCACATCTCTTTAAGGTACCACACTCTGGCTGCTCTTTCCACAGGTTTAGTGTGGCCACAACTGCGTAGCTGGCCTCACTCTGCTGCTGGGTAGGGACCTGGACCCCAGAGCTGCATACTAAGGGAGGCCATCATGGTCACCAGTGCTGTGGACAAGGAAGGTATGGAACCACAGCCCTGCAAAGACTGATGGCAGCAGCACATCTTTGTCTTCCTTATATCTGGAAGAGGACTTGGAGACCTGAAACGCCCTCCTGTCCTGAAGAGTAGGAGCCCTGACTTAACTAGGCCCTCCATCAGCTGTGGACCACACAGACTGTTGGGCAGTGCCTGGTGCAGAGGTTGACGCACCCAGAGTGCCTGACCACAAGCGGGTGTGCTGAGCAGGAGCTGCCAAAGGCTGGTTGGGGCTGAGGAACACCTGGGGGAGTCCCTGTGGGTTGAGGTTTCCCCATGGACCCCCATCCTGGCCTGGCACTTCCCTGCTGCCATCCCACCCACAGCCAGTGAGGTACCCTCTAGAGCTGACTCACAGTAGGGGAAGGGGGAAGAGGAACAGAGGCCTAGGGCTGTGGAGACGTGGACCAGGGAGATGCTGGGAGACCTGAGATGGGTTTTGACCTGCGGAGCCTACTGTATGTCCTAGACCCCAGGTCCTCTTGCTCATTTTCACCTGATGGCATGAAGTGCTGAGATGCATACCTAAAATAAATAGAATAGAGAAAATGTAAATTCCCTTAATGTTAAATAACCTCTTATAACTCATACACACACACACACACACACACACACAGACACACACACACACACACGTATGTTTGTATATGTGTGTGTGTATATATATATATGTTTCTCCACATATGTGTGGAGAAAACGTTTGCATACTAAGGTGTCAAAGTTTAAAACACGGTAACACTGTGAATATGGAGATGGTCTCCATTTTTAGGGGTGTGGGTTACATGGATGTATTTGTCAAAACTCATGAAGTTCTACACCATCAACGTATGCATTTCCCTGTAAACACACTAAACTCCAATAAAAGAAATATGCTATATTTTTTAAAAAGCAGCAGCAAAAGAAGAAAAGCTGCTACTACTCATGGCCGTGGAGGGGTGGCCTGGGCTGCTGAGTCTGGATCTATGCTCCTCCATCTAAGAGTGCCCTGGGGGAAGGAGGCATGATTCCAGGTGATTCCACGCAATGTTCTATAGCCAACCAGAGTCTTGTTTTAAAGAATGGCAGCCAGTTACATGGCAGAGTGTTCGTGTTAAGAATACAAAATTATGGGAGAAAGTTTCACATAAAGCAGGACTTCCAATCTGTAAAAAATAATTCGGACAAAGGCAGAAATTCATTTATTCATGGAATCAATGAACCACTCATTGAGCGTCTGCTTTGCTGTGACCCACATGAAGCAAAGTCTTACTGAGCTCCCTGCCCAGCAGCAACCCATTGAAGGGAGATGAGTGCTTCCAGGGAGGCCGTGGCAGGGAGGCTGTGGCAGGGTCAGTAGGGTTGGGGGGTTTGTGGATGTGACAGGCCTAGACATCTGGGGAGTTGGAAGAGACACAAACTGAGCCTTCCAGAAGAGCTGGCCCTTGGGCTGAGAGGTTTTCCGTTTTATTTGAGGTGTACCATACATAAAGGGTGGAGTATGGCATGCATTAATCTGCATGTAAGTTTGATGACTGCTTGCATGAATATCCCAAGATGCTGCCAGCCTCAAGTGTCTTTGTATCCATCCCAGTCTTCACCCTTTCCCGGTAACCACAATTCTGACTTCCATCACCATGAATTTGTTTTCCTGTCCTGGGACTTCATAGAGATCGAATCATACAGTAATTATTATTTGGGGCCTGCCTTCTCTTACTCCATGTTATGTTTATGAGATTCACATTGTTGTATGTATATTCTTTTTTTTTTTTTTGAGTTGGAGTCTCACTCTATCACCCAGACTGGAGTGCAGTGGCACGCTTCCAGCCAACGCAGCCTCGACCTGCTGGGCTCTGGCGATCCTTCTGCCTCAGCCTTCCAAGTAGCCAGAACTACAGGCACACGCTACCACACCTGGCTAATTTTTGTTTTATTGTGCAGATGAGGTCTTGCCAAGTTGCCCGGGCGAGTCTTGAACCCGCAGGCTCAGGCAATCCACTCACCTCGGTATCCCAAAGTGCTAGGATTGCAGGCTGAGCCACCGAGCCCTGCCACATGTATACATTCTTAAGAATTTGTTGTGTCTATCGTATGAACATACCTGTTGATGGGTGCTTGGGTTCTTTAGAGTGTTGGCTATTTTTTTTTTAAAGCAGGATTCATTGAGAGGACAGAAAAGCTCCCACAGTGGGAGGAGACCTGAAGGGGTTGCCTGAGTGTTGGCTATTAAGAGCAGAGCTGTGCACATTTTAGACATATCTTTTTGCTGACTTAAGCACTCATTTCTCTTGGGTATATATTGAGAAGTGGAACTGCTGAGACATAGGGTAGCTAAGTGTCAGCTTTGGTAGAAACTACCAAATGTTTTCCCAAGTGGTTGGACCATTCCGCTCCCTGACTCCAGCAGTGTCTAAGACTTCAGGTTTTGATCTGAGCTTTGATGCGTGGATTCACATGGCAGTTTGTGGTGGTGGCAGATGGAAGCTATAGTTAGGGAGAAAGATATTTTCGGTAAAAGGAATGTCATGAAGGCAATGGTAACCATGAAAATGCGCCACTCAGATCTCCAGTAGCTGAGAGCGTGGGATAGCTCAATGACTGTGCTGACTCTACCACAGTATAGACACTGAGGCCACATTCCCACAGTGGCTCTCAGCCAATGACTAGCATGGCCGGGATATTTGTCTAGTGGACACTTTTGACTCAAGAACTCCGAATCAGCCTGGTGAAAGATTCTTAGCACTATGGCCTGAGGTACCACCTCCTCATCCCCTCTTCTTTCCCTCTTCCCTTCACAGGAGTCAGACCTACAGCAGGTCTCCCTACAATAAAAGGCCAAAACCCCTTCTTCTCTCAGGACAAATGTGATCTTGGGTTAACTTTCTAGCTCTGTTCTCATGGAAGCCAGACAAGCCAGCTAATTGAATGTCAGGTGTGGTATCAGGCAAAACTGCTGATGGGAGCTTTTGACCTCTGACTGATAAACTACTGGAGTGGAAGGACTAAGAATAAGCTAAAACATATGGTAGAGAACCACAGCCTTAGGGTTCCCTAAGTGTGAAAACTCTTCTAACTGGGCAAGTCCCTTGAGGAATCCTGGGAACTGAAAGTGTGGGTGGTTGATTCCTATGGGACAAGGGGCTTCTGAGCCAAGGTGGCCTCACATCTACTGTGTAAATCTCATCTCCTCATCCTTCCCTCTCCTCTCCTCTCACCTGGGGGAGAGGGTAAGAGAGAGGCCCTGGATTGACGTGAGGAGTTCTCCTGTGGATGAGAACTGCTGACATGCCCTGCTGGCAGGTTAGGCGTCCCATCCTCCATCTTTCTAAGTGAATCCGACACCAGCTATGGTCTGTCCAGGTCATGTGAGTCTGAATGTCTAGCTGAGCCTAAGAAAAACCCATGCTGGATATGTCTCTTTCTCCCCACAGCCCTCTCCCACCTACATCCAAGCTTGTATCCCATGTCGATAGAAATGTGATATCAACCCAGCAAGTCAAAGTGAAATCCAGCCAACCTACTCACTTCACAGGCCTTGACACTTCCCCACTGTCATATCTTCTTGGTGGGCAATTAAGATTAACAGGCATCCAGGTTTCGATTGCCAGCCCCCTTCCTATCATCCAGTGAGAAGACTTGACCAAGCTGATTAGAATCATTTAATGAATGTTCCAAACACACCCTTCACTGGGCTACAGATAAACTTCATGGGGATGGAAGCTGATGAACCACCCATCCAAACAAACCCCACGATTACTCAGTTTCCAGAAACCTGGATACCAGAGGGGTCAGTAGGAAAAGCATGATCACCTAGCCAGAGAGTTTCCTTGGGATTCTCACTTTCCTTCCTCCTCCTCCTGCCCACTAAGGAACTTCTCCAGGGTATGGATGATCAGAAAGGGAGAAGGGGAGAGGGGTCCCAGCTCTCCAGCATGAAGAGGAGTGTTGGGAACACTACACCCCAGATGCAGTAAGACAACATGGAGGCACAGGCCTGCTCAATAAATAAACAGTTCCCAGAAGTCACCACAGCGGGATCAGTGGGTCCAGGGATGCCAAACAGGAGGAGCCATCTCACCCCCCTGAGGCCTGACTGTGGCCCGCTCACTACGTGCTGCACACCAGCACATCTGCAAAGGGTCCCAGGAGGATCTTGTTGAAGATGCAGCGAACCCACACCAGGTAGGTGGTGAAGGGCTTGATGTTCTCAGTGAAGGTGTGGTTCTGCAGAGCCAGGATGTAAGGCACGTAGGTGTTCTCCCCCTGCTCCTGCAGCCACACTTCATACTTCACCTCCCGCACCTTCAGGTACTTGAGGTTCCATGGGATTTGCCAGGAGACAGTGAGGCGGGCCTCGGAGGCGCCCTGTACTGATGCCTGGCATCGAGCCTCCCGCACCTTGCCTGGGTACAGGCCGACTGTCCACTTCTGTTTCCGCGGCCCTGGCCGGACCTTCACCATGCGCCGTATGGTTTGAATGAGGGACGGGATGTCCACTTTGGTGTCCTGGTAGATTCGAAAGAGCCACTCAGGGTTCCGGCAACAGAGGTGCCGCGGGACCTCACGGCTCTGCAGGATTCGGGCCTGCTCGGCCCTGTCCAAGTGGGTGATGCCCCCCTGGTCCCAGGGCCGCTCAGGGTGTGTGACTGTGTTCTCTGGCATCATGTTCCGCCAGGCTACATACTGGAGGTCCATGCCAGGCAGTGTGGCCAGCGTCTTATAAGGGGTGTAGTGGTCAGGATTGACGGCATATGGGAAGAGTTCCACCACAGCTGCCCCACGGGGCAGGAAGAGGGTGGTGACCAGCTGGGCCCCATGCATGCTGACCAGCATGGAGGCGTTGCTGACCAGCCGCACAACATCTGCAAAGGTGTGATCCTCCAGGGACACCGTCACTGTCTTCATCTGGAACTCCTGGGCCAGTGCCAGCAGCAGCTCCGCCTCATTCAGGATGAGTCTGTTCTGGGTACGGCTGAAGACCAAAATGTACTCCTCACCCAGGGGAGCTCCTGTGCGGCTCACGTTCAGCTTTTCCGTCATGAACCGTGCAAACTGCCGGATCTCATTACCTGAGACGAGGATGTTGGCCTTCGGGCCCTGGGGCTGGACGAAGCCATACTGGTACCAGGTAGTGACCTTGGAGAGGCCCACGAAAGCATGGGAGAAGCATAGCAGCCGGCCCAGGGTCTTCAGCTGTGCCCGCAGGAGAGGCTGCTTGGGGCTGAGGAGCTTGTAGAGGTCGAAGTGTGCACCCTCGCCCCAGCCCTCCATGAAGAAGAGCCGCGCCTCGTGGGCCAGGCCGGGGAACTGCCGCAAGGTGTAGAAGAGTGGCAGCAGGTCATCATGGAAGACGTGCATGAGGTTGTCGGGGTTGAAGCGGTTGGCGATGAGGGCTACGTCGGGCACAAACACTGGCTTGGGCATGAAGCGCAGGGCAGCGGCGGGCAGTTCCACGAAATTGAAGTACTGGGTGTTGTGGTCCTCCACGGTGGACAGGTCGAGCAGGGCTGGCTGGAAGCGCCGGGAGCCCAGGTTGGGCAGCATGACAGAGGTGTTGCCGTGGAAGAAGATGAACTCCTCGGCCTCGTTGGAGTAGCAGAGCCACTTGAAGCGGCAGATCCGGTCCGTATGCGTGCGGCCTGTGCATACCATGTGCGTGCCGCCCTCCATCAGGATTTGCAGTGCCTTTGGGTAGTCGATCCGTAGTGCTGGGCCTGGTTCCGGGGCCTGTCGGCCGAGGGCCAGCTCCTCCTCTAGAGTGGCCGTGTGCTCACGCAGCCGCACATGCTTCCACAGGACCGCTGCCAGCACAGACACCAGGAGGGCATTGAACACGGCTGAGAGGTGCATCCTAATGCCACGGGGAGGCCCTAGTGAGATGATGGCCGCTGGGAAGTGGCCAGGTGGGCTTCACCCATTCCCATCGGCACCACGAGGACCAGTGAAAGCCTGCAGGAGGAGAGAAGGAAAAGAAAAAGGAGTTGACCCAGTCTGCCTGGAGTCATTATAAGCTCCCACTATGTGCCAGGCACTGTGTCTGCACATTGGTAGGCATGGTTGATTAAATGATTGTTCAAAATATTCACGGCCTCCCTGTTGCTTTCATGGTGGAGTACACAGCCCTGCACTGACTTGGAGCTTGGCCATATACCTTACTTTGGCTAGTGAAATGCTAGCAGATAGAACATAATCAAAGGTTTGGACTGGCCTTGCCCTCTTTATACTTATGACACTGTCATAAGAAGAATGTTTTCAGGCTAACTTGCCAGCCCCAAGAGGAGATCTGTGAGGAGCAGAGTTGCTCTGGCCTGGCCCAGTCTGGTTCAGCTGATCCCCTGATGCCTGAGTGAGCCAAGATCAGCAGAGCCATCAGCCAAACCCAGCCAAGATCAGCCAACACACAGACACCTGAGCTGAATTATCATATGTCACAAATTCTGAGGCTGTTTGTTATGAAGCAATGCTGCAGCAAAAGCCAACCAAGAGTGACCATAGGGAAAATCCCTTTTAGGGGCCTGACATTCCTGGGCTGCCATATAATGACTTTTCCTCAAATGGGAACAACTGGCTTTGAAGGCACCTGTTGACATTGTTCCCAGGTTGCACAGCAAGACCCCAGCATGCCCTTTCTAAGAGATACTTGCACAGGGTGAAGATTGGTTAAGATCTGTTCCTACTTAAAGCCCTTTAGAAACCATGACTGCTTGTTTTTAGTTAGAATCCATAAAAGGATAGGTAGAAACTTGCCCCTTCAGTGATCAAGTAAGAGAATTGTGTCTGGGTGTCACCATTGACAGATGTTTTGTACACTGAGGGAAAAACCCAAAAGGGTTCTAAATACCGTCTCTCACATACACACACCTACAAAGAGGGCTGGCTGGGAGGGGCTTTTACTCCACTTTTTTGTGATATCACAAAGGGTATCACACATGCTCTGGAGCCCAGGTCTGTTCAAATAGTTTAAGAATCTCACCCTCAGTGACACAGGAACAGCACATGTAACAACTGTAGCCTGCTGGGCACTGTACTAGGGAGGGAGTATCCACCCTTATTCCCTTGCAGCCAACTTCTGATGCAATTTCTACCTCCCTGCAACAAAAAGAATCAAAGTGTCTTCAGCTAGGTTCAAAGTCAAAGATAAGGATTTGAGTCCAAAGTTTGAGAAATGATCCCAAGAAATACACATAGTAGAGTAGGAAAGACAGAGAAAGGACAAAACCCAATACAGGGTACATTAATGAGCAGATCACTGCTCTGGGAGGACTGGCACACATGTCTGTCTACCCCCGTCAGCTTTAGTTGAGGGCCATTCCTGGAGGCAAGAGCTCTCCTGGCCTTCCCTCATCCAAGGGTAGAGCACACACATATACATGTGTTATGTAACTCCTTGGTCAGAATTACCCTACCAGGTGTAATGCACTCCAGAGTTCCCTTTTTCTAGTCCTCTCTACTCTAAGTTCATTTTCAGCTTTGATAATCTTAACTGATTTTCCAACCTACTAATAGTGATGGCAACTTGCTGCTTAAAAAATACTGGTCTAGACCAGAGGTTCTCAAACCTGGCTGACTACTGGGGCACTTGTTAAAAACCCATATTCCCAGGATTCCTAGGCACCGATCCTAGAGGTTCTGATTCAGTGGGTTTGGAGTATGGTACAGCAAATAACCTGTGTTATTTGCTTCTGTGTTTTTTTTCCATCTTCTTGTGGATTACTTGAATTCCATTCTGATTCATCTATAGCTTTTGAGTTATAGTTCTTGGTGTAGATTTTTTAGTGGTTGCCCTAGACATTACATCTGAAACTTACCACAGTCCACTAGTACAGACATTTTACCTTTCAAGTAAGTATAGAAACTTCCATTTAGGTTCCCTTATCCTTTCCCCTTTATAATATAATTATCTTAAGTATTTCCTCTATATACATTGAGACTCACATCAGACAATGTTATAACTTTAGCTTTAACTGTCATCTTCAAGATAAAAAGTCTAGTCTGTTACATTTACCCATAGTTTTACTCTTTAAATTCATTCTCCATTTCTGTTGTTCCAGGTTTCTTTCCATTATTTGAAGGTTTCCTTCCTTCCTTTCTTTACTTCTGTTAGCCATTCTTTTAGGGTGGATCTGCTGGCAATGAATTCTCTTAAGTTTTCCTTCATGTGAAAACGTCTTGATTTCTCCTTCATTCCTAAAGAATATCTTCACTGGGTATAGAATTTTGGAGTAACATTTTTCTTTTCTAGCATTTGAAAAATGGTGCTGGGATGCCTTCTCTGAGCTCCATGACTTCTGATAAGAAACATCTATCATTTGAATTGCTTTTCCCCTAGAGGTAATACATCATGTGTCTCTTGCTGCTTTGAAGATTTTTTTTGGTCTAGTTCCCAGAAGCTTCATTAGAGGGGTCTTCACAGACGTTTCTTTGGGTTTGCTCAGATTCTTGATTCTGTAGGTTTCTGCCATTCACGTTTGGGAAATATTCAGCCATCATTTCTTTTCATTCTTTTTCAGCCTCACACTGCTCTCCTAGGACTCCAGTTATACCAATACTAGATTTAAAATGTTTTATTGTCTCCACAAGTCTCAGAGGCTCTGGCTTTTGTTTTTTTTCCCCCCAGTCTTTTTTTTCTCCCTGTTGTCCAGGCTGGATAATTTCTATCTTTCTGGCTTCACATTCACTGATTTTTCTGCCCTCTCCATGCTTCACTGAGCCTACCTAGTAATTTTTAAATTTTAGTTACTATATTTTTAAATTCCAAAATTTCCATTTAGTTCCTTATATCTTCTTTCCTTGCTGAAGCTTGTCCTGGACATTTTGGGTATAATGTTATGATACTCTGTATCCTACTTAAATCTAGCTTTTGCTAAAACTGTGCTGGCAAGGGAAGGGAGAGCATTGATTCTTCAATGTTGGGTGGGGGTGGATGTCTGGACTCCCTGCTTGGAGGTACCAATAGCACCGTGGTCAGGAGGGACACTCACTGCTGAGTGGGGAAGGAAATTCAGGCTCTGCAGTTGGCCCCTACTGATGCCCTAAAGTGGAGGAGGGGTGTCTCATCACCACCAGGAGGGGATGGAAGTCTAGGCTCCACTGATACCTTGAGGGGACTGTGATGGTGAGGGAGGTATTGTGGTGGTGAGGGACACCTGTTACCACTGGGTGGTGGTGAAAGTCCAGGCTTCCCATCCAGGGGTCAGGGGTTGGGGGGATCTGGTTACCACTTGGCAAGGGCAGAAGTCTATGCTATCCATTTAAAGCTGGAAGGGGGAGGCAATTTTCCCCAGTGTTTTGCAGGAATAGGGTATTTATGGTTAAAAAAAATTTGTTTTGCTAAGTTGCTTCTTTCTAGTCCTTTAACAAAAGAGACCAAGCTTCCTTGAGGCCTTGTTTTAGTCTATGCTCACAGGCATTTCTGGGTTGTGGGCTTCTCTATCGCCCAGCATGAAATATACAGGAGGCAAAAAGGAAACCCGGGGAATTTGCCACTGTGTTGTTTCTGTGACTTCCGGTGTCCCTAGCTGACCCACATACTTTTCTTCACCTTTCAGTCTTCTGATGTTTTATATACAATGTTCACTGCTTTTAGCTGGATTAGTGGGAGAAATAGGGATAAGTGTGTCTACTCCATTTTGACCAGAATCTGAAGTCTCCTTGGCATCTGCTTTTTTGCCAAGCTCCTGTGTGATCTGGGGTACAGCCAGGTTTGAGAAAAACCAAGTAGTTCTTAACCAAAGAACCAGGCCAGGAACACATCACCACCTGCTAGTTTAAAAGCTTGGAAATGTTTCTGTGTTCCTTTTGTATGTAAACTAGAGTACACTCAATGTTATCCTTATAATCACATCATCATCACTCAGTCACTTTCTGAAACACCTTCTTAAATTGGGAAAATGAGGATCATGTCACAAGAACCCACAACCCTAATGCCTAGGTTGTGGGCAGTGAGCAGCCTATATGTTAGCTGGTATGAGTCACTGTTCTGCTTTACCTCACTGTAAAATATCTTTGGGTTTTCAATGACATCTTAATATGCCCATAGAAACACACTATACATGTGAATGTTCCCATTAGGGAAAGGTAAATGGCCAAATAGCTATAGCCAAAACCTGCAGAACTTCAGACCAGGTCTATCCCTTTGCTATATGACACTGGACATGCCAATATTCCTCTCTGGCCCTTAGGCGTCTGGAGGATCAGGATATAGCAGCGTGCTGATCTTGGCTTCTCACCAGCTAAGCACCAAATGTGAAGCAGTATGCCAGGAATAAGCACAGGCCCGGTTAAGCCAGGACACAAAGAAATGGTTTTATTGTTCACTCTCAGAAGGGAGAAAGGAGAGGTGACTCCCTTCCATGGTCCTCCACAGAGATTGGATAGTCACTTTCCAAATGACTTCTGTTTGGAAGAATACTTTGGCTGTAGGCAACACGCAGCCTGACATTGGAACATTTTAACAATGGCTTGCCTGGGAAGGGATTCTTACCCCTCGAAGCTGACAAGCTGGCACTAGGCTCTCCCTGTGTTGTTCTTGCTTCCTTGGGAATAGATGGAGGTATTCAAACTCCCAATCAGTGCCCATTCACATCCCATACTTGTGAGTTCTGATGCCACTTAAGAGAGCTGTGGACAGGGGTTCTTCTTCCTCTCTATCCTAAAAGGAGAAGCCACACAAAGGTCACCTGCCATGGGAGTCAAAGTGCTGGGAACATTATCCTGAGCCCAAAAATGAAGACGTGGACATGGTGAGCCAGGGCTGCCTGAACCCCTGGGTACCCAGTGGTTTGCAAACCTCAGATCCATTGAGTGCCCTTATAAGAGATAGAAAAAGATACAGAGAGAAACAGAGAAGGTCAGATGAAGATGAAGACAAGGACTGAAGTGATGTGGTTACAGGCTAACAACATCCAGGATGACCAGGAGCCACCAGAAGCAAGAAAAGATTCTCCTCT